GAGGTTTAAAATGTCAACTTTCCTGCCAGCCGTTCATTTTATGTTGTAGTTCAGCCTCTGACCACTAGTTGGCAGCAGTGAGCCAGCCATTTGGCTCCTCTACCTCTTGAGGTAGAGGCTATTGTTAAGTGTTGGGTGACCATATTGTAAATTAATATTAAAAACTAAAAGCTGCAAAAAATATATTTTCAAACTATTTATTGGCAAATTTAGTCTAATAATTGAAAACATGGATGAAATAAGAAACATGAAACAACTAAAATAAAATACATTCAAAGCAGAACAAAAAGTATGTCTATGTAATATTAGAATTTTCTGAGACAATGATTTTTGGTTTTTTTATTTTTTCCCAGTAAGAGGTTTTTATTTAATAGAAGTTTTGGACAAAAGAACTCGCAATACATCACAATATATCGCCTTGCTTACAGTATCGCAATATATCGGGATATATCGTATCGTCACCCCTCTGTCATGATATGTATCGTATCGCCAAATTCTTGCCAATACACAGCCCTAGTATTAAAGCGTTTCATATGAGTCGACATCAATAATTATTGATGAGTTTTTGTGTTTTACCTTTTTGAAATAAAGAACAGGAAGAAAAAAGTTTGATTATTCCTGCCAAACTGTTGACATGACCTTTCCTCTCTTATCCACAGTTTCCTCTCGAGCCGTTGCGCTCGTTTCCCGCTCTCGCTCCACGTCGCTCTGAGGCGCGGTGGTGAAACGTGAAACTGCACGTGTGTCGCTCAAACAGGCCGCTGCTAGCTAGCCAAAGAGCGAGTTAGCTGGGCCGTGAGATGTTGAGCAGCTGAAGCCTTTCCTCTGCCTACATCCCCCAGAATGCCGTGCGAGTATATATCCGCAAATTTTACAGATGAGCTCAAATTTAACAAAGTCGTAGCTGAGAGTCCTTCACAACACAACGTGCTAATCGATCACGTAAGCAATCCCACATGATCGGATTCGTTTTAAGGTTTGACCAAAACAACTATAATGTTATTGCTTTTCAACACGTTATTCGAAAATAGCATGAAAAGCAGCTGTGATACACATTCGTATTTATAACCAGCTGTTCTTCACTGCAAATTGTAACATTTTCAATCGAAATAAAATGTTTTTTTTCCAAGTACCTGAATTGTTTCTGATTATACGGCATGAAAATCCTGTGATTTCTTCATAGAAGAGCAAACTCCATACATCATTTTATGAGCACATATGGTGCAACTTAGTTTTAATTATGTGCTGAGGGAAATAAGAGTCTCTGCAGGAGGTAGGGAAACTGAGCCAGGACTTACAAGAATCCATTAATCCCCCTGCTACTGTACACTCTTTTTCACTGACTGTTTCCTCTGGGAAGTTTGTTTTTAATTTAGCTTCAGAGCTCCCTAAAATATCAGCGCTACACTTCATTTTTTATTTTTTTTCCTAGCGTGGACTCTGCTGAGATTCATGCTGTGTTGTGTGTTAGATAGGATAAATAGCAGCGTCCATATTTACGTCTGTTTCTGCTCAGCCTGACGACCGACCGGTCCTGGAAAAGTCCATGTGACCCAGAGCCGAGGAGCCGCTGCCGCTTCCTCATCCTGTTAAACGTTAAAAAGGAAGTGCTTTGGTTGGGCCGAGAAGGCCGTGGGTTATTTATAACACGGCACCAGTTAAAACAGAATCACAGGAAATGATATTGCACTTTCAAATTAGGAATCAATCCTTATTTGAGTTGCACATTCTGTTGTGACAGCGTCTGAACTGAAAGACAAAGACTTCGACTCTGTTTTAAACAAATGTTTACAGTTAACTGTTCGGCCGAACGGGACAGGAAGTGGACATTTGTGGTTTTAACGAGACAAAAATGGAAAGATGGCCAATGAAGATTGAAATAAATACATGGTTAAAATTATTTATTTATTTGGATCCCCATTAGGCATTGCCGTAACAATGGCTACTCTTCCTGGGGTCCTTAAAAAAGGCAAAACAAACATTACAAAAACAATTACAATTACATGCACTTAATATAACATTAGTAACAAAGTATATCAATTCACAAATGTGCAATTATAACACCTTACATGACAAAATAATTAAACAATGCTCTTTTAAAAGCTCTAACATTTGTTGAATTTAAAAATGATGAAGGAAGGGAATACCATGTTCTCATTCCTCTAAAAATAACATTTTGTCCAGCATTCCTGTTGCATTGTGGAAGAATAAAACAACCTTTTAAAGCATGTCTAGTATTGAATATGTGTACAGTGTGGCTA